AACAAAGGCACGGATCAAATTTAAAATGTCTCATCAGTTACCGTAATATGTGATCATTATAGGATGATTGACGTCGTCTCGAAACAGAGATGTTACGACATATGATGAGTCGCTAAACACATTAGCCGTATAAAGACATTAATTTTAGAATTCTCGAAATCTATCGAGCATGTGAGAGCTAGTGTATTGTCCTTCTTTCAACTAAAACCTAGCTGTCAAATGTTTTTGGTCGTTCAAAATACGTTTGTAAAGGGTTATTTATCAAGTTATCTTACATTCTTCACTTGATCAACAAAAGTCATTTCATCGTGATTTAAAACTAAAAAATGGCGAGCAATGTGACGGAATTGCGCATAATTTCAATTTATATTCCGCATTAAATTAAAGCAACGAAACCTACACAATAAGGGATACAAATTTTTAGGTCCACAGTCCTACTATATACAGTACTTGAAAAACTTTAAAATATATAATAAATCTAGCGCTAAAAATTTCCTAGGCAGTTCTTTTGCTCATTTAAAATTTCTGCCTGTGACGTACGAGTATGTAAGGCATTTATTTACTGATCTTTCACTGACTTATATTCAAGGAGAATTACCCAATGTACAGGATGGGCCATTTTTTCACTTGACTTAAAACTGAAGTTTATCTAACCATCGTTTAACTCGAAAAGTAAGTTTACCAAGAACACTGGTAGGTAAGGTATACCTTGAACCTCGGTATTTAGATTTATGGTAAACTCTCCGAATTGAACAAGCTTTCGAATTGGTGCTGTTTTTCACTGCCACAGCTCAATTTGCTACCAAGCTACAGTATTTCAAGTCAAAAATCAGTTAACTTTTTCGTTTTCCCCACCCTGCTTTTACAAGGAAAGAAAAACTGCGGAATGATGCCGCCCAGCATAATTTTACTTTTAATTTTCCAAAAATATATAAATATGAATCATCTGTAAACTTTTCAGGCCTGGAACTGGTTGGTCCTGATTACAGAGAGATGTTTTCAGTTCTGCAATGCAGTTTCTTCACCTTGGGGATGTGTATTTTATCTGGCCTCGCTTACGCCTTTCCTGCGTGGAAACACATTGCGTACACCTCGTCCAGCGTTCTCGTGCCTTTGCTTGTCATCATGTGGTAAGTTATAAAATAGCACTTGCAATATTTTTAATGCAAAAATATTTTGAATAATCTATCTATCCTACAATGCCTAATTTTTACTTATAGGTTTGCCCCAGAATCGCCGCGTTGGAACCTTTTGAATGACAGACTCGAAGAAACGTACGATTTGTTCCTCAACATTCTCGGGGATTCACCGGCTAAAATGAAAATGGCTCAAGTTTTTGTCAAACGGCTTGAGGTGATTTAAAAATAGCACAGCTTTTTGCTATGTGTTTACCGTTTTATTTTATCAACTAGGCTGTGCAAAAGTCAGAGTTGAAGGAGTACCGGTTGGAGACTGGGTCTGGACTGAGAGAAAGTATTAGAAAAGTGTTCCAAACCAAGCAGATGAGGAACAAGATGTTGCTCATGACATATGAATGGTGAGTTCTAAATCATCTTCATGAACATTGACTGCATTGTTTAGTTTACAGATTTTTCAGGACACAAATGTGTCTTGAGTTACTGTTGTGATGGAGCCCATATATTCAATTGATAAATTACATTTGCAATTTTTTTTTCCACAGGGCAACAGCTCAGACTGTGTACATAGGGCTGGGTTACTATGGCCCAGGGATTCATGAAAACCCATACCTAGCATTTTTCCTGTCATCAGCGGTGGAGTTTTTGTGTTTTCCTGTGGCCTATTGGTACATGCACAGAGTGGGGAGAAGACCAGCTTATGCACTGAGTGTGACTCTTGGAGGACTCTTTGCAGTCATAGCTGTGGCAATGCCTAATGATGGTAAGACACTTAGGAAAATACCTGTATTTACTCAAGTACCACACGCACCTTTTTTCTCAAATTTCAGAAGAAAAAAAGGGGTGCGTGTCATAAGGGGGTAAAAATTTTTCAAGAAGTCTTAGGAAGTTATGTGTGCATTATACTTGATTATAATGGAGAAATTTTGAACAAATGTAACGAGAAAACTTTTTTGTACTGAAAAGTTGAAAATTGATCCAATTTTTGTTCAATTCATGTCCAAAGTCAAATTTTTTGAATTTACTTTCGAAATTTTGTGGTTTTAGATTCACTAAAAATTGGGGTGTGCGTCTTACTTGGGTATAAGATTTTAGCCAAATTTCCAACTGAAAAATCCCAGTGCGTGTCTTACTTGAGGGTGCATAGTACTTGAGTAAATATGGTATCAAACGTTAGTGCTTCCATGTCAAGGCTGGGATATTTTTTGCTAAATTATTTGCCCAGAAACAGAGAAATAAAATAATTCAATACTGGTGAACATATAGTTGAAGTCTGGGAAAAATCTGTTTTTATTCTTTGAAGATTAAGTTCTGTTTGAACATTGAGAATTAAAAAAAAAATCTCAGTGGGTGGTGTTTTTTATGCATCCATACTCTTGGATTATTGGAGGAGGATTTTGAAAACGATGATGTTTAGTCCAACCCAAAAATCTTGGACTTTTTAGCCCAGATTAGATTTTTGTCAAACCAAATTGCACTTGCATGCACACAAAAATTAGGTCTTCTCTTTGGGATGGACAATGTCCAAGGCTTAATACTTGGACATTGGTGGGTCAAAGTCCATCCCACCGCAGTGCTGGAAAATTTTCTGCATGCTTGTGCATTTTGGTTTGACCAAAGATCACCAAAAGAAAGATTTGGCTGAGTATAGCAAAAGTCCAGAAAAATCTGGGAAATGTAAACCCATTGTGTCTGAAATCCCTCAATGCTATTCCAATGAAAGGAATGAGAAAAAATGCCACACAACAGTCAAGGTTAGGAAAATGTTTCTGCTGATCAAGAAAAAAAATGTGACTTTTCCAGACTTTGGCTCTCTTGATCAATCCCTGCTTTTTCATTTTATTTTATGCCTTGAGCAAACAATTTTGCAAATAAATCTTTGCACTGCTGCCCGCAAGGCTAAAGAAGTTCCTCAAAATCCAAAGAAGAAGATAGAGCTCTTTCCAATTTGTTCCACGTTTCTTAGAATTCTGTGAAATTAAAATAAAATCTCAATTGATAAAATTTTGGCATGATTCCTGAATGTATGATGCTGATTGTATTTTTGTCTGAACTTTTTTTTCAGGCACTGGAACTTCTGCAGCATTAATGGCAGTATTCTTGGTGGCCAAATTGTCCATTGCAGCTGCTTTCTTGATAACCATCCCATATGCAGGTGAACTGTACCCAACAGAACTCAGGGCGTTTGGGTTTTCTGTGGGGTCTGTTCTTGGTGGCCTGGTGTGCAGTCCTGCTCCTCTGGTTGTATATCTTGTGAGTGACTCGAGTATACTTTTTTATATCTTTAAAGCATATCAAGATTTTTATCCTGATGTATCCTTGATCATCCATCAAATAAAAATAAAAGCTGTGTGTCTCCAATATAAATTTCGATTGGTGAAATACAGCTCTGGGCTGTTTTATTATCAGAACCAGCATTTTTGCCCCATGTGCCTATTATAATCACATCAAGTACAAGTACAACACCTCATTGAATTGTATCTTGCCCTTCCAGTTGAAAACTCTATGCGTATTGCATTTTTGTCTGTGTCTGAATTCCCTCATCCCTAGGATGTAACAGCCTCCTTCCAATCCTGTGGCAATAAGTCCAGATTTTTTTTTGCCCCAGGCTCATCACAGTTTGACACAAGGTCACTGGAATGCACCTGGTTTGAGAAGGCTAAATTTGGCAAAATCCAGCAGGGTTCATCCTTTTGTTTTCAAAGATCTCCAATGCTAAATATGCTAGGAATGCAAGAAAAAATACTATGGCATGAGGAGGTTTATTTTTTTTTCTTTTTGAGGCAATATTTTCTGCAGGATTATGAAAACAATATCAGACTTTTTCTCAAATTAGGTTGTGGTACAATAAAAAATGCAATTTTTGAAACTTGCAGTACTCATTGTGAGGACGAAATTTTGCAAACATATCCTGACTTGACTGCACAAAGATTAACAGACCTTCTCAACTTGATGAAATTCCCCTCCTTAAACCTCTATTGCTGAAATTGTTGGATGCCTTTGGTTCACTACAGTATTCTACAGGGACCAAGGAATTGGAAGGGCGGTGACAAAAATGTAACTATAGATGAGCTTAAACATAGAGGAGTAACTAATTAATTGAGCAAATGTACCTTTGCTTTGAAGTCTAGTCTCCTGTCAACCTCATTAATCCATCAGTTTAATATAATTCCAAAAGTATAAAAAATCAACTTTTTTGGTTATGTTCCAACATTGTTTTCCTTTAAAGTGACATTTCCCCCACTTGCAAAGTCTTAAGTTGACATTTTGGGTGTTTTTTTTTTTCAAATTTGACTTCAGGTTGCCAAACTGTGATGGAATTTTTTTTTTTTTTTTACAGGGAGCAAGTAACTTGGCATTGCCTTTGATCATCTTTGGGTGCTTGGCTGTGGCTGGAGGCATTCTTTCCCTGCTGTTGCCTGAAACCCTGGGCAAGGCAATGCCTCAGACTGTGCAAGAAGCTGACGAGAACAAGCTCATACCCTTCTCATCAGCCTTTTCCCCTCAGGGCATCAAATCTCTCTTTACAGTGAAAGCATGAAAGTTATCATGCAGTCAAAAAAACATTGTGTACGTTGCCGGCTGTGTCATAAAATTGGTGCGTTTGTTGCACATGAATGTCTGGGGTCATATCGTCATGACGAAGAATGTTCGTGGAATGGAAAGCAAGGGATTGAATTGCTAATAAAACTTTGAAAGCTGATCCTTTTGTGATGAAGAAAAGGTGTGGAAAATTTGTTTTCCGTTTTTTCTGCAGAGATTTCCTCGGAGTTTGAATGAGAATAAGACACATTCTACTGCCGCAAAAACAATCTGTACTGAAACCGCGATGAAAGCAATTCCGCACGTCGTTATAATCTCATTTTCATCCATTTCGGACCACAAAAAAAAGAGACAAAAAACTCTTTGCACGCAAATAAGCGAAACAATGCCACTCAGAAAAACTTCCGTGAAAGAATACTACAAAAAAACACACCTTCTTCCACCAAAAAAAAAAAAAAAAAACCGCAAACAGTTGCTGCCATCGAAGAAAAATTTCATCGAACCCTTTTACACGTCATCCTCGCTGATTATTTCTCTCTTTTCCAACTCACCGCAAAAAAATCAAGCATTCAAATAAAATAAGCACTCGACGAATTACTCGAAAACACACGGGGGAAGCAGGGAATAATTAATTATTACTTTGAGATCAAAAACTTTGCTCAAGTTCTCTCGTTCCATCACACAATTACTCTTGATTCAGCGCTCGACAAAAAATTCACACGATTTGATTCTCTGGCCTAGAACAAAAATTGATATAAAAGGAGGAAACGTTGTCAAATAAAATTCAGAATGAACCTCATCTCGCGCAAATCACGAGCTACACTCTCGGATGAATTCCGATGGCTGATGGAGTTTTCTTTTCGTTTTTGCAATCCGCGATTTGCTCTGAATGCTTACTCAAACAAAAACAAGCTAGATATATGATTTAAAAAAAAGACGAAACAGTAAAAAAAAAACAAGTCCTTTTCTGCATCAAGCACACCAGAAAGCGCGAAAAAAAGACACAGGGTTGGATTTCAAATTCATTTTTTTTGGTTTTAACAACTTTTTGCCCTTTCTTTTCTTTCCAATAAATATGATCCAATAAAAAGTTCAGTGGGGAAAACTATTGCTCATTTATTTCTGTTTGCAAAGAAATTCTGAAAATTGTGCTTACTTTTTAGACACAGGTTCTGCAAGAAAAGCAGATAAATGAGATTGTTGTCTTAGACTAACGTATTGTTGAAAATGGAAGAATTTCTTACAACCCACTGCCAATCCACTGTTTGGTTGCATTTGTACCAACTACTCATCAACTGAAAATGCCAATAGAAAAGTTTGCTCTACACTATAAAATACTCCACTTATTTGCTCTTGCACATGCACAATATTCAACTAATCTGCGCAAAAGACATGCCATCTATGAGCTGAGCATTGAAGCACAGTATGAAGATATGTAGATCTGAAAATCTTCATTGTTGGTAAATTATATTGTATTCTGAACAAACGCATAAAAAAATCTAGAATGGCCGATGTTGAAGCCCCAAAATCGTTTTGCATGGTGAGAAGATTCCTGAATTATGATTTATAAACAATATCCTGCTGCTTTTCCTTGATCATTCCAAAATCCTTTGAGAAATTGGAAAATTTCCAGTGAAAATATCAGCATTCTCCACAGAATGAACCTAACCATCTTGTTTAAAACTAAAAATAAAACTTCATAGCTTTTGTCAAACTTCAACTTCATGATCTTCTTCATCTCCAACATAAGACTCCATATTTTTTAAAGATATGCTGAAGCCTTGAAGTACATTACTTCAGTTTATTCTGAATATACATAACTTATTTGCAAAGTAATGACTTACTGCCTCAGATTTCCAAGACTTTTTGAGTTTTTTTTCAGGATTCTTTCTGTGACCATGAATGTAATTAAAATGATTTTTTCATCAAACCAACTGTGCAGCAAAAATTATATTAGCATATGAATCTCAGGGTTGCCATGAAACTTGTACGTATATGCTCAATTTAAATATTCCAGCATGTGTATTACGTTAAACATGTATTTGTAAAATTATTCGTCCATATACTGTACACAAATAATGGAAAGGGTGTTTGAAAAATTCAGAATTTCCTTGAATCTTTCTGGCGGAATACAGATATTTTTGAAAGACTAAAGAGCTGATTTCGGGAAGCATTTAAAAAAAGAAAACGGAGGAGGAATTAAAGAAACGAAAAGAGAAAACATTCAGAAAATTGTTTCTCTATACACAGTACTCAATAATAGCTGTCATACGGGTCCCTGACATAACTGACACTTTCGTGGGTCAACGCACTTTCCCTCCTCCGATCCGCCAGATACTTTCCTAGTCCCGGCGTGACGACGGACGCCGTTGAGGCGGCCGACACGGCCGACACTCTCCTCGGCGCCGCCAAACTCGATTCGCTCGTCGACGGCGAATGCTGCAACGCCGCCTTATTCTTATTCCCGAATCGCTTTCCCCCCGCTTGCTGCTTTCTCAACTCCTCCTGCTGCTTTTGCACGTGCTGATGAATCCGTCTCGCCGACCGCCATTCCCCGAACTCGTCCAAATGCGGACCCGCGAGTCCCTGGTTGCTGTTGTAACTGGTGAGTGACACCCTGGGGAATTGGTGCAGGTGATGCGGGAGTTGGTGCTGCCCGGGTTTCCCGGGGTTCCAGAGTGCTGGCACGAAGACCTCGGGCGTGCCCGCCGACGCCGCCGCCGTCGAGGGTTTCCTCTTGTTCGACTCGAACAGGTTGCCGAAAATGGTGAGCAGGACAGGCAGCAAAAGCAGGCCGTGTAACGCTCCAAACAGCATGACCATGAAGACGGTCTTGAAGAAGGTTCGATAAATGTAGGCCGGGATGAAGCCCAGGACGATGACGCCGAAAATGCTGCTCACGCTGCCCTGGACGATCGGAAGGCCGACCTTTTCGAGGGCGTCCGCGATTTTCTGCTCGGCCGTGGCGCCGTCGGACGACATGAAGGAATAGGAGATGTGGGCGGAGAAGTCGACTGAGAAACCGATGCACATGATGAGGCAGATCATGGAAATGGTGTCCAGACTGACTTCCCAGAAGGTCATGTAGCCGAGAATGCCGACTTCGATGGAGATGATGGAGAAGCCGACCCAAATGGCGCACATGGGCGCCGGGATCATGATCAGGGCGACGACCAACATGAGGACTGCTGCCAGGGTCACTGTCTGCAGGGTTGTTCCACGCACCAGCACGAACTGTCGAAAATTATCAATAATTATTTATTCTTAATCATCCCAAAGAATATGTGGGAAGTTGCTGTTTGTGAAAACGTCCTCATCCCCGTTTCGGAGAATTTGCTGCAGTTCATTTCAGCCACGCGAATTAACCAAGAAAGCATCCCTTTCTAGAAACCCGTTGAAACATTATGCGTGAAAAATTATTCAGAATACAATATAAACATCCTATACAGTATATTGCTTCTCAAGCGTTCAGCAGCACAAACGTTCAAAGAAAAGTACAGAATTACATTTCACAGATGGAAATTCTTGATAGAAAATGTCGCCAGCTCAAACTATACATATACAGTACCGTAAGAATAGCTCAGTACTTTTCAGTACTACGAATTCTAGATGGAAAGCAGTCCTTTTCATTTCGGAAGTTGTTCAAGAAAATTTATTTTCATTGACTGCAAATTTTCACTTCGTTTCAGTAGTACGAATTAACCAAGAGCAAATTTATTTTTCGAACACCCACCACAAAATTATATGAGAACATTTTATGCTTCTTTTCAGAATAATATTTTCAAATGGAAACGCTCATCCTATTTTATAAAATGTGATACTTTTCGAAAATTGAATGAACATTTTCCGAAACTGATTACATCAGCAGATGCTATTCCTGCGGTAATCGTGAATTGAAGTTTCGAATCCAATTTTGAGACACTAACATAAAATTTCAATCCCCACTTTTGTTTAGCATAAGGCTTATATGCTTCGCTTAGCACATTGCAACATTGGAGTGACACCTACGCAACACAAAATAAAATCTCGGGACGTGGGGACGATGAGCATCTGATGAGAGAGAAGCACTAGTTCTCACTCGAGAAATTTATATGAGAAGCAGTACACCAGTATTTCTTTTTTGATAGAAATTTGAAAGAAATCAATTGATTCTTCTGATTTTTTAAACAAATGAGTCAATAAATGATTTATGTAGGCACCGCACCCTTAAACCTCGAATAAAATATTATAAAAGTTACTGATTGAAATACTGGTACAACAGTACAGTATCAGAGAATAGCAAACTTACACTCAGACCATTCTAGGTATTGAGCTTTACATGCACCTTTAATACGATTTTTGGAAGAAAAAAAAACACTTGAACCTGGTTTCCAAATTCTTTCAACTCACATTCTCGGCGAAAACATATTGAGGATGATAGGAGACAATGTGGAACTGCGGATATTTCTTCGCAATTTCCCTCAAGGCCAACATGGGCTTCTGAACTTGGTTCAGATCTGGCAAATTGATAACTTGCACAACAAAACGCGAGGCCACGATTTCCGTTCCGTCTTCGTTGATCGTAATATTCCCCCAAAGATTTTTACCTTGCGGAATGCCACGCTGATTATTACAGGAATTCGTATTTGCAAGGCTGCTTGATGTGTGTGCCAAAAAAAGGAGAAACAAATACGAACTGTTCTTCTCTTGTGGAGATTTATTCATGAAAAGAAAACTCGATTTTCGAACGCAACAGTTAATTTTCTTTTCCAACTGCCTCTTCGATAGAAAAAAAAAGAAAGAAGAAAAAAGACTCGATGAAGTAATCTCACAGGAAGAAACTGATCTAACAACACATTTCCCTTTCTTTTCTGCAGAAAAAAGCACATCGGGATAAATTTCAGCAGTGAACGGAATTCCCTCTACATTCAAGGGTTGCTTCAGAAGTTTTGAGACTTTTTTTTTTAATTGATCCAACGGAGTTTCGTTTCACCAATTCCGAAGAAATAAATTATATTCGCATAGCCCCATCATTTGGCAAAATTTCAGTGCTGTTCAACACATCCTCTGTCGATTTCAATGCATTTTTTCTCGCAATAAATCGTCCAATGATCAAAACATCAGTGCGAACAATTTAAATCCGTTCCCGACAGTGAAGAACGACCGGTAAGGGATTTCTTTCGAAGGCCATTGAAAAACAGCTTGATCAACTAATGAAACTCGATTTTTAGCACTGTTTTGATTATTGGATTTATCACAGGAAAAAAATCTATTGTAATCGGCAGACAATATGCTGAAAACACAGAATTGTTGCCGAAAGGCGTGACACCTACACAGCATGAAATGAAATCTCGGGACCTGGGGACGATGGGCTTCTGATGAGAGAGAAGCACCAGTTCTCACTTGAGTAATCGCGAATGGAATTGTGAACTGTTGAAACTCCTTCGTTGGAGCTACAGTATTTCCAAAAAAGTATCAAAACTTATGAGCCAACCCTCTTGTATAAATACTGTAGTTCATCAGAAGGGAACCGATTTTCCGCCATGCAGATGATGATGATGCTGGAAACAGTTCTTGTCGGAAAGTGGGTTCTTGCAAAACCGAAAAGAGGATTCCACTTCCTGGCGCAATATATACTATAAGCGAGCAGCGCAGAAAAGTTTCGCTGCACAGGAAATAGCTTACCATGACGCGGAACGGGAACCCGTGGAAGTACTCGGAACTCTTGTCGAAATAGTCGATGTAGTAAGAGCCGTCCATGGAGAGTCGCTTTGCCTGCAAGCCCTCGTTGAGCTGGGTTATCCCCCAGCCACCGACTGCCAAGTAGGCCAGGAAGATCATGATAATCAGTGCCTGAAAAGGAAAAAAAACGTGTAAATTGATACAATGCCAATCTTTTGAGACGAATTTCGTTTTAACGATTTTTTCATGGTCCTGGAAGTTTCTCCATATGGCAAAAATGTAACGTAGGGCAGGGGGTTAAAAAAAAGTTTGTGTGGCTCACGGATCGACTGGCAAAAAAAAGATAATAATTTGCAGACCTTCAAATTTCCAAAAACATTTTGTGGAGTGTTTTTGGAAATCGGACCGGCAAAGTTTTATAAACTTTTTGCAGACTCAAGAAGGTTTTGTTTGAAAGACTTATTTGTGGCAGGTATGTAAAAAGTTTTTTCTTTTTTTTGCAAAATTAAGTTAAGAACTGACAAAGCAGCTAAATAGTGGAATGTCCGAAAAATTTCCGAACAATTTTGCCGAGAAGCAAATTTCCAAAAACATTTTGCGGAGTGTTTTTGGAAATCGGACCGGCAAATTTTCATAAACTTTTTGCAGACTCAAGAAGGTTTTGTTTGAAAGACTTTGTGGCAGGTATTTCAAAAGTTTTGTCTTTTTTTTGCAAAATTAAGTTGCAAGAACTGACAAAGCAGCTGCATCGTGGAATGTCTAAAAATATTAGAAAGGTGCTGTTCTTAGGAAAGGCTTATCAGCATACAAAATTAAAATAATTTATTTCAGCTGGTGAAAATTTGTCAATATTATTATGAGAAAAGCCAATCTATTTTTTTCCTCAGATAATATCAACTGACATTGTCTTTCCAAGATTTCTTATTAGGATAACAGACTTCATTGCAACTTTTGATACATTTATTATGCAGAAGTACATTTTCCACAGACTGGCAAAAAATTTTTGCAGACTGGAGCTGGTCCATGGATCACAGGCTGAAAACACTGGCAGAGGGCACATAGTTTCTTAATAGAGACATTCATATAGCTTTTGTTATAAATGTCACAGTTTTCTACAACTTGTGCTAAAACAAACTAATTTTCATCTATAACCTCAGTACCAAATAATAATGTCAAACAAAAAAAACCATGGGGACCACAAAATAAGCTTTGTCATAAAGACACACGTTGCACAAAGCATCCCAAAAATGCATGCTAATTTTCTGCAAAATATAATTACAATATTTTTTATATCACCTCAATGTCCAATATTAGGATTGTTAAAATTCCAAAAAAAATTCTGACAATGTGAGCTGATGGATGAAATAATGTACAGTATTTATCTTTTACGAAAAGTGTTTGAAGATTTTTACCTTGATTGCAGGAATGCAGAGAAATTTGGCCATCTGGTTCTTGAAGAAGCTCATCAGCGCATGGTTAGTCATGTCATGCTTGTCCATTGTGCTGNTATATATCTTTTACGAAAAGTGTTTGAAGATTTTTACCTTGATTGCAGGAATGCAGAGAAATTTGGCCATCTGGTTCTTGAAGAAGCTCATCAGCGCATGGTTAGTCATGTCATGCTTGTCCATTGTGCTGACACCACCAGCACAAAACAATTGGTAACTTCTGCTCATGTCACCTGCAATTGCAAGAATTTCAATTCCATGCATTTTTCTCCTCCAAAAATCTTGTTCAATATGTGTGTTTTTCATCACAAATTTTGCAACACATATCGGGGAGAAATTCAACTTTTACTTTGTAAAGATCATAAGTTCATCGAGTTCATGAAAACCCAGTGCTAGAAGTACTTTGAAAAACCCATGAATTATTGAATGAATGAATGAACAGAACACTTTATTTGCCGCTTTTCAGCGTTCACAAGGTTCACTCAAGATTTCTTTGAAACAGAAAATAGTTGTTTCTTCTATGGGATCCTTCAAAATTTTATAGATCGAACCTGAGGCCTATGAATGCCTCAAAATCGAATCATCATTCAATGTCTTAATCGCCTTATGAAATAAAATTACAAATAAATGTCTCACCAGCTTCTGTCAAGGGCAGCACCTTTTTCAATGTAATGCAGTGCCGATTTTCTTCTTCCCAATATCCAGTCAATGCAAGCCAAGCTCCGAAGAATGTGATGTGGTATAAATAAATCATGAAAACTGCCAAAGCTGTATCATCCAAAGAAAAAAAAATTTTCAATCATGACTTTGAAAGCCAGGTTTGCATGATAAAATTCCAGACAAAAAAAATTACCTGTGTACATGCAGAAAACTTGCACAGCTCGGAAAGGAGTGTAAATGCCAATGAGAAAACTCAGGCAATTTGTCAAAGACGTGATTGTGATTGACACAGCGGCTTCGGCGTAGGTATGAGACAACCTCGTAGGCACTGAGTCTTGAATGCTGGTCTTTCTCCAGCCAGCCAGCATAACAAAGGTGTTATCCATTCCGATACCTGTTCGCAAATTTGCACAGATATTTGTACAAGTTTCTTGGTAAAAAAAGAGAGAAAGAATAAATTTTGAATTTTTGAAAAATGAAAGTGACGCAACCTGAAATTCAAAAGAAACTTGCTTTCTATTTCTGCCAAGGACCCACAAAAGATCCGTATCACGAAATTTTCGGGCCTTGCGAAATTTCTTCCCAAGACAGAAATGGACTCACATAAATATTTCTGCTCAGAAATACACGTGCATTATTTTGTTCTGAGTCTATATATATGTTATGCAAAAATCGAGGCAAAAGAGAAAAGAAAGGCATCCATAAAAAATTTCCCAATTAAAAAAAATGTTGCTAACAATTTTCGAATTACTTCAATTTTGAAATACTGTGGTAAACTTTAAATTCAAAATTGTTTGCTTGTGACATGCTGAAATGTAAAACTTTTCCTGGTTCTCTATATACGTTCACTGCATTTTGTACGTGCCTGATGGAATTGATTAAATTTGACCATTATTGACGAATTAAATAAAATATGGCTTCAAATAATGAAAATAACCCAGGAAAAGATTAGTTTCTCTTTGCAAGTACTTATATAGGACCATTATCAATTCCGGACAATGCCTTGTATTTAATTAGGACACTGAAATTTCTAAAACCTGTGTCAGTAATCATCAGGTATAAAATCAGTGTCAGCTAATGTTATAACGAATGCTTGGGAACCTTTTGACTTCCCGGTGGCATTGTTCTGAAATAATGCGATCCCACACAAATTCAGTACCCCTAAATGTACTTATTATCGCGACGAACTGGAGAACAATCAAAGGAAATTCGAAGAGCAATCACAGGAAATTCGAAGAACAATCCATCAAGTATTTCTTGTGTCTGGAGCATCAGTGGTTTCCGTCCACATCGCATCGAAATCAGGTTCTTAATCAAGGAAAAACATTTAATTGAAGTTTTTATCTTGGGACTATTCTGTAAAATAATGGGTGTCATTGGGTCCTCGATCAGCAGAGAAACAGCGTCACTGCTTTCAGTCCTCCTCGCATCAAAATCAGGCTTTTAATCAATAAATAAAATATATATTTTTAAAATAAAGTTGATTTAAAGCGTTTATTTTGGGACCATTGAAAAAAAGGGTGGCATTGGGTTCTCAAAGAAATAAAAAGCGTCAGCTTTTCAGTGCACATGAAATGAGATTTTTAATATAAGAAAAAAATGATTTTTTGAAATTAAAGTTGATTTAAAGCGTTTATTTCGTGACTGTTTTTCTAAAATAATGAATGGCATCGCAGTCTCGATCAGCAGATAAACAGCTTCATCGATTTCAATCCTCAGCATCGAATCGAAATTATATTTTTAATCAATAAAAAAGGATTTTAAAAAATTTAAGTTGATTTAAAGCGTTTTATTTTGTGACCATTTTTGAAAATGAGGGGTAGCATTGGGTTCTCGATCAGCAGATGAACAGTGTCACTGGTTTCAATATATGTACACGTAGCATCGAAATGAGTCTTTTAACCAAGGAAAATATGAATTTTATTTAAAATCGATTCCAAGTGTTTATATTTCGGGACCATTTTTGAAAAAGCAAAGAAGGAGGGGGATGCATTAATTTTCTTCTCAGCAGATAAACACAAAAAAGGGGGGGGGGGGGGGCTGCATGGACATGTTTCAAATAGATCTCTACGAAAGATGTACATCCAGCAGCAGCACGACGAAGGACTTCTACATCATCAAACAATTTTTCCCTCAAGGGTGTCTTCTCGGCTTATATATTTGATGTTAAAAACCAAAAGCCCGCTGTTGCGCTTCGTCGGGATACGGTTCTTTTTCTTTTTGTTTTATTCGATGCATGAAGCAGAGGGAAGAAAATGACTCGAATCATACCCAGCATGAGGAAAGGCGAGGCCATGACGAGGCCCGTGAATTCCACCCCGAGATACATGATGAGCCCGAAGGCGGCGGCGGTCGCCATACACGCCGAGGCGACACCCACGACCCCGAGCACGGGTTTCGACTGTACCCAGTCCCTCATCATGGACGTGACAACGGAGAAGGCGATCATGACGATGACTGTGATGGCAAAATAAGGGATCACGACCAGGATCGTCGACACCAATTCCGTGTCGTTGGTCAGGCTCGAATACCAGTACACGTCCACGAACTTGAGCTTCTCTTTGATCTTGGGCATCTCTGCTCTGAACTTGTCCTCCCACAAGTCAGCGCTAAAAATAAAAAATAAAACAAGGAAAGTGTAAATTAGATTACATTATGCAAAGATAGCTTCGTTTATCCCAGATTCAAATCGTAACCCGCGGACGCCTATAAGGTATAACTGTGGCCTGAAAAAGTTGTGCCAATTTTCAAAAGCCTTTATTGTCCCATTCCGAACTATACAAATGAAAAAATAATCCCACTCATCTGATATAAATTTAAATTCAACGCCTTTCAAATTTATTTTTTTTTCAAGGCACGAAAAAATTTGCGTTTTTATTTGAAGAATATCAGTACCGCTTTAAAAAGTTGCAAAATCGTATATAAGGACAATTTCAAGTATTCAAGAGCCTTTCAGAATCGGAGTTGAAAATATATAAATCAAATGGTATCATCAGTTCAGAGTAATTAGAAAGCAGCTTTATTTCTTAAAGTTTCCCATCATAGTAATGAATGAATACTTTTCGAAAGTTTCCCAATGCTTCAGGACCACCACCAGAAAAGACTTCACGCAAGCCTTGTGCTTATCCCGAAAAAAATGTCATTAAACATTTTTGAAATTAAAATCGAAAAACGTTGCATTTGAGGTGTCCTGTATCTGACAGGGGACTTGGGGAGTGGAAATAAAGTGATACAGATTCATGAGATGTCAAGTTTGCCTGATCGTTTGAAGTCGGCGTCTAAGTAAATAGGTGAACTATTTATAAAAAATCAGCTTCTTTTTTATAAATTTTTACACGCATCTCGAAGAAAATAATGTAAACGTAAGGCACCTGTGCGGAACTGGTTGCTCTCAGCCTATTTGTTCCAAAGGAATATTGACAGAGATACAATCGCCAACATGAAAGACTTATTTTTTTTTAATCCAGTTGGATACCTTACTGGTGTCAGCATTTGTTAGACCGCATGTTGAGTCTCTGCTTATTGAAACAGGCTTGACCTCATTTCTAAAGTGAGCCACTCCTAATTGTAACTCAATTTGAATAAAAAGTATCCCTGTATAATTCGTGATTGTAACGACCTCCCAGACAAGTCACAAGGTTGATGACTTTTTAAGCCACATGTACAGAAGAAAACCGAGTTAAATTATATTCTAAAAACTACTTCTACTCAACCCCTTTTGTTGGCTTCTCCATTGTACTGTACTATATGGTTCATGTAGACTTTGCAGATGATTGATGTTTAAAAAAATAAATTTCAATCAGTCGAATAATGCTGGCAAAAAGACTTTTTCAAATTTCGGGACGCATTTTGAAGTCGCGAGCGAGAAAGTCATTATTATCTAAACCAATTGTTTTAAACAGTAAAAAATAAAAAGAATTGAATAAAAAAAAGGACGGCTAAATTTTTGAAGAGAACCCTTGCATTAATCCCATTTAGATTGACTTCATTCTATTTTCTTTTCGCATCATATCATCCATCGAGTTTTCTTTTGTCTCCAAATTAAAAGACACGGATCAAAAGATACATTCGAACCATTTCGAATCAAAGAACGATAAAACCAGTGGTTTCGAAGTTTTACAAACCAAACAAAAAGACTTTGTGTTGATGTGCTCTCACCGAGAAAACAAGTGCATCCTAATTTTTTCGAAACTCATAAAATGTCATTATTCTCCATAGCATTGTTTCCTGCAACATGCAGAATCGAGTTTTGCAAGATACATTCAAACAACGAGATACAAAAACCCCATTATGACTGAAATAATATTCTTGATGAACCTTTGTACACTGGAGCAACTATTGTGACTTGCAAAGAAATGCTCACAAATTATCCCAGCATTGTTGAATAATCCGAGAAGGAAATCTTCCGCACAGAAAACTCTCGTATTTTAATAGAGTCCTTCTTTCAAATAATCCCAGGATGATCAGCACAATGAGAGAGAAAAAGAAAACCATAAGGTGGCTAATTATAAAGGAAGATGCGACTCTCGTTGTAATCAACTCAAGGCTGTCGTCGACTCGTCATCGTCGTCGTCGTCGGCGGCGGCGGCGGCAGTGGTGTCGGCGGAAAAATAGAAAAAGCCCTCTTTTCTATTTTTTTTTTTGCTACTACAGCCGTAGTGGAGACGCACAAAGATATTTCGCTGCGAGGCACACCACCGCCGATTTAGGTTGCAGCGGCGGCGGCGGCGGCGGCGGTTCTCTACTACTACCGGAACAGACTGGGAGATTCCCAAAAGGCTCTCCTCAACGGCGGTTCTTTCGTCGTCGGAATATATACTCTTTTTTTTTCTCGATGAGTATATATATATTTTTTATTTGGAATGACGATAGGAAAATTGAGCTAATAATAAAATAAAAGGTAAGAGGCCACCCCAGTGAAGGAGCAAAGACGGGGAGCATGCCCAAAATGTCGAAGGACGCGCAGGGCTGCTCTTCGGCCACTCCCTTATTTTATTTATTTATTTATTTTTTTTCGCTGTTGTTGCTGTAATGTTCCATTTTATTTTATCGTTTTCTTGTAAACCTCCGACTTGCGAGGGTTCACGCGAAAGTTATTTGCGACGAACCAGCAGAACATAGCCTTAACCTCGCGAGGAAAAATTAATTTGAACATAAAGTTCAATGTATAGCGAAGTGACTTGGGAATTGGTGAAAAGGAGTTATTTTTCAATGGAATGTGCTTATTCTGGTCACGTAAGAGGTCAATTATTCAACTATTCAATATCAAACGTAAAATTTTTTAAATTGCGGTGGATTGAATTGCATTCGTTCACATCCGAAATATTTCCTTGAATAAGTTGCGCAACGTGGAGCTTTAGAAAATTGCCAAAAAGGATATGATTCATGGCAGATTATTTGGGGATTGCCAAATGCATGATGTATGTTCAGCACAAACAGCTCCTTACTGCTATCCTTTTAACTCGATTATTATTTTATTTTCCATTCTCCGGTGGGGTCACTTCCTCGTTTCTGCCCCTCGTACGGGTTTTACAGCTTCCTGCGCGTCCCGACGAGAAGCCGGTGAGGTTTATTAATTTTTTGTTTTTTTCGTTGTTGTTGCTGTAATGTTCCATTTTATTTTATCGTTTTCTTGTAAACCTCCGACTTGCGAGGGTTCATGCGAAAGTTATTTGCGACGAACCAGCAGAACATAGCCTTAACCTCGCGAGGAAAAATTAATTTGAACATAAAGTTCAATGTATAGCGAAGTTACTTGGGAATTGGTGAAAAGGAGTTATTTTTCAATGGAATGTGCTTATTCTGATCACGCAAGAGGTCCATTATTCAAATACGGTATTCAATATCAATCGCATATATTTTAAATTGCGGTGGATGGAATTGCATTCGTTCCAGACATCCGAAATATTTCCTTGAATAAGTTGCGCAACGTGGAGCTTTAGAAAATTGCCAAAAAGGATATGATTCATGGCAGATTATTTGGGGATTGCCAAATGCATGATGTATGTTCAGCACAAACAGCCATGCGAAAAAAAACGAAAGACAAAAATATGCAAAGAGCAAAAAACACTTTTTAAAGGCCTTAAATGATCATCAAATACATTTTATGCATTATAAAAATCTTTCCAGCGAGAACACTTGGAATTCAAATCATGCATTTAAAAAAATGAAAATGATATATTTTACGTTTTGTGACATGCCAGGGATTCCCTTCAAAACTTGAGACCCTCTCTTTCGAAAATTCGATGTTTATTCCCTAAAACCCAACTTTTTTTTAAATTACAACATTTTGAGACAAAATTAAATCTTCAAACCTAATACAGTAATATGAATTTCTTCAACCGGTTCATGGTTTTCAAAGAATTTCAGCAATGAAGCCAAGGAGCTCGGCTCGAAGATCAAATTTTTTCACTCTAAATATGGTGAATTAATATTTTATTATTCATAATAAATCAAATTTGTCTTTCTATCGAAAACCGTTTGCCACAAACCATCACGGCTGTTTTCCGGTTAAAAAAAAAAATTTGTGAGCATCTCGTCAATGGAACCCTTCATGACATAAAAGTGCTCATCTTTTGCGTTGTTACACATAATACTCATGACCTTCGGATTCTAAATACAACATTTAGAATTTACAGATGATGACTCATCTTCCAGCATCCGAGCTTGAGACACCAGGAAACTTTGAAACCCTTATCGCTTGACTCATGTCTCTTTTTAAGAGAATCTCAAAATGGCCTAAAATTCCCCCAAGCAATTTGATTTGAGGCTGAAAAAAATCTCACTTATGCATATAATGGAATAAATTATGTTTCACTGAAATTGATCTATTCCTTTAGCAGCGGATAAACATATTAACTGGATATATAGCATGTTTTCAATGTTCACGGACCATAGGAGTATGTGGAGGGCATTTCGAAATACTAAAAAAAAACTCTTTTAAAATCAGCATGGAAAGGAAGAAGCCAAACCTTCGCAATTCATGCAAAACTTGAAGCCAAGCCTCTCCATGACATAGTACAATACGTTTCTGATCATCGACTTAAGTTCAAGTCAGCATTATTTGGGTGTCTCTCGCGTGATCAAGTAATTGTATCAAATACATAAACCGCCCAATATTAAAAAAAAACACCAATTAACTTTTTTAAAATGTTCGAGCAAGCCTTACCATTTTTCTAAATTTGTTCTAATTGAATCCGAGCGTGGTTTCCCTCCCAAATATGAAGCAAAAATCAAATCTACGCTTCTTTCTCGTCCACAAAAAGGTCATTGCTACAAAATAAAATTTAAATAAAAATAAAATGAGTCACCTATAAATGATTTGACGTCTTTAACTTGCTGAAAACGAGAATAACTTGAAAAAATCCAACAATTTTTGTCTAATTGCTGAACTTTTCGAGCAAACCTGCCGACAGCACAGTTCCGTGCCCGAAGATATACCGCATTTAATCTATTCTGGAAAATTCTCCACGAATTCAGGCTGCTTCGGGGTGTGTTATAATATATATGTAACGTGCTCTATACGAAACCAAGAGAGACCATATAGATAAGCGAATAAATGAGCATAGATATACGTGAATGTAGTGAGAGCGGAATAAGGAAAGGAAGATGGAAATGAAAGTGTATATATATAACCGGATAGAAAAAGGCCGCCTCATTCATCACCGCGTGACCTTAACGTAACTGACCCTCCTGATGCTAGCGTAAACGAAGAAGCGGTAAGGTATAAAAAGCGCCCGAGGCTCGAACTTCCTCATTGCTTACACTTGACTCGACTGTACCAGAATTGAGGAACAGAAGACAGGGACACTGGGTTCTTTATATACTCGTACACTGTTAGATGGCGACAGCAGACAGGAACGCGTCATGATATGCTGTTGAGGTGGGCGCGTTGAACGTCGTCAGGAACTTGTTGCCTCAACACTTTTCATTGCTTCTCAATGGATAAAACAGGGGAGGATCTTCTTAGGGACCCAGGCACCCTCCACTAATGACTCATATAAATAGACTCTCCATCCTGCAAAAAACTGGTACTGGGCCAATACAGAAGGCCTCAGAATCAAAGAAAAAGTCTCAAAGGGCTTGTATGATGATGCACAGCATTGTCTTTGATATATAAACAAAATTACCCTATGAGAGACCAAGATTTCCCACCAAGGAAATCAACTTTTTAACCTGTCTTCTCTCAACCAAAAACCTGAAGAAAATGTCCTCTATCCTTTGGCAAAGTTGGAATTTTTTTGGGAGGCTGTGCATTTCACTTCAACCAAAGGTCACTGAAATGCACCCAGGTTGGGAGGCCTAAGTAAGAAAAAAATCTGGGAACGGTGAATCCATTTGTATACTGTATTCAAAAATGTGTAATGCTGATCCTATGCAAGGAATTCCTGAAAAAAAAGCCACCCAGCAGTGAGAAATTTTTTATTCTTGAGGCAAATTCTTCTGTATAGGATTATAAAAAATATATTGGGCTTTTTCTTGACAGGCCCTACTGATGGTGCAAAAATAAAAGAACCTTAATTGTCAGCAGAGCGCATGGGCACAAAATTATGCAAAAATATCCAGACTTTGCTGCACAAGGGTTATCAATAAGAAAGTTGCTGGTCTTTAGGACTACCTCTTAATTTTGTGCATGGAACACAGGTTTTTCATGGAACGTATTTGATAAAATTTGAGCTGGATGCAACATATACAAAATTATATCTATAAAGAAACCTGTTAAATTTTTCAAAGAGAAAAAATGCTTCATTTTACCCTTAAATGCTTTCTTCCTCTCGGATGATATTAACTCGATTTTTGAATGTAATTTGCAGGGTAAAACCGTGATAAAGTTTCACAAGACACCCTTTCAAATCTTTTGTTGATGCCAATTTTCCTTCATAAACCTTGGAATTCTTGATTTGTTTTCGGAGTCCGTATGATAAAGCACGGTTCCGCTGAAATAAATTCTTCAATTTTTATTCATTCAACACAAAAGGATTGCAAGACATTACGATTACAGGTATATTGAATCAAGTTTCCGCGTAACATAAAAAAATAAAATAATGGTGAGAAACGCTTTTTAAAACTGTGTGCTGTGGGAGGAAATTATGGTCTCTGCTCGTTCGTAATAAGTCTCTCCCACTTTTTTTTTTTATTCTTTTCGTGAACGGTTCTTGAAGTGTTCGTTCGTATCCCGGGGGTGAATGAGGGAGGTTATTATGGTGATTATTATACTTATTACTTTCTTTTTTAGGTTCTACGCCCTGCGATGCTCCATGTCGGAACTGAGCCAGACGCCGTGGCGCCGGACCCGTGCGACCTTCAGGCGCCTTTTCCTGCGCGTGTGAGGCGGCTTATCGCTGGCGTTCAAGGCAGAGGCTCGTGTTCCTCATTTAGAGTAGACCATTGGATCGACTGATGGAACATGCCCCGAAGGGGAAAAAATACGGCAGTTGCTGCCGAAAAATGCAGCAAAACCATTGATTCATATTCCAAACTGATTTTGTTGTTGCGAGTTGTAATAAAAAATATATATTTGGGACTTTGAAAATATCTTCAGAATATTCAGGATACTCTTAAAATGTGCACAGGAAATGGAAAACTTAAGGAATAGCAAACAAAACAAAATATCAAGTTTCCACATTTCGAGTTCTATTGAGTTGTCTCTGCTTGTGTTGATAAAATCTTCACATGCTGTTAGACCAGTTTTATATAGATTGTTGTCATTTTAATTAGGCTAAAAATATGAGTTGCAGGTACACAAGATTGAAAAAAGAATATTCTACTGTCTCACTAATTTTGTTTTGCATCAGGAAGGATTTTCAAAATACATTTCGAAATGTCCTTCTTTTCCACTCATTTATGCCATCCCTGCCTCCCAGAACATATTACAGTATAAGCTTTAATTAATTCATGATTAAATTGAGGCTTTTGCCAGGCATCAATTTAGAAGTCAATTCAAAGCTTCAAATGGACAATGTTTTGTTCCTAATATATAATTTTTCTCTGCTCAAACTCAAAAATTCCAATCCATCCACGTATAGGATAGATAGGTGGTACCTTGCAATTTGACCAATAGTAATTTGACCAATTGCAATTTGACCAATTGCAATTTGACCAATTGCAATTTGACCAATTGCAATTTGACCAATTGCAATTTGACCATCCTGCAATTCAGTGGTTGAATTTGTTTGGAGGTAGACTTGGAATCAAATCTCTCTCTCTCTCTCTCTCTCTNAACGAGATTCGTTGTAACAAGATTTAACTGTAATTTAAACGGTTTTTTATTGTCTCATCGATTTTGGAATAAGGTTATCTTCACTCGTGTGGATGAATTTAATGCTATTTCGTCATGAATGTCGGATAGTTTTGTGGAAACACGTCAATATCGCACATATTAACAGGATTCTCCGAATTCTCTCTCTCTCTCTCTCTCTCTCTCTCTCTCTCTCCTCTCTCTCTCTCTCTCTCTCTCTCTCTCAATTTGACCGGTTTCAGCTTCTTGTCCAGTGTTTTTGTGCTGTTTGCCCTTGATTTTACAGAAAGTCTTGGAATTTGACCATTTTGTAATTCAACCCTAGTCCAGCAACCAGGTTAGGGTCAGGTTAAGGGGCAGCATCTGGATGAAATATAACCTCTTCTGTTTGACTTTCCATGCTCAATCCTTGCACTAAATTCAAAATGCAAAAGTTTACATTCTCAGTGGAAATGACTTTTCAAGTGAGGAGGGATTTTCAAAATAAATTTCGAAATTTCCCTCTCTTCCACTCATTTATGCCATCCCTGTATGCCTCCAAGAACAAAACAGATTTAAATAATGTATGACGGAATTGAGGCTTTCGCAATGCATAAATGAAGACGTTAACTCAAAGCTGTGAATATAGGCAATAATTGGCTCCTATCACTCTCTCTATTTTCACAAACTAAAAAAAAATCAAATCAGTCCATACATGAGGTGTAAGATAACCTTTTCTAACCTTCCACTCGCAACCCGTGCATTAAAATACACGGAAAAAATCACGAGAGGGGCTTTGAACCGAGATTGCCGGAAGTTGGTTACATAAAAATTACATCGGGTGGTAATATAATGATAGGATTTGGAACAAAAGAAAGGTGGTGAAGTTTCCCTAGCATAATTTTCCAGCGTCCCTTCGCAACGTGGGATACATCGCATGTATATGAGAAGGGTTGGGAAGAATGCTTGCGGTGTTGCGTGGATTCCTCAAGGTGAAACAATTTCCGGATGTAATTTTCCCTAGCATAATTTTCCAGCGTCCCTTCGCAACGTGGGATACATCGCATGTATATGAGAAGGGTTGGGAAGAATGCTTGCGGTGTTGCGTGGATTCCTCAAGGTGAAACAATTTCCGGATGTAATAATACAATCTAGAAAGTTTTCTTCTCGTTTCGGTTTAAATCATTCTTGAATTTTTTACGGCAGGTTTAAAATAAATAACACTGAGTACAATGGTATGCTATGAGTATTGCAGAATATTGACGAGTTTAATAATCAAATTTTCCAATAAGCTTCCGAAAACGTTACTTTGAAAATCTAATCAGTACTTTAATTAAAAATTATACTTGACTTTCAAAAATCTTTAGCAAGCAAAGCTTTGGATTTTCATGTTGCATACACCATTTTTTTGTCCTTTTGATTGCAAAATGAGATGCTTAATAAACTGCTGCTAGAAAATAATTCAAGCTCCTTGTTTGTATCCCTTTTCAAGATATTTTTCAAGAAAAGAAAAAGATACAAAGTAAAATTCTGACTCAAAGGGAAGGAAGTCAAATACCTCGCCGATTGAAGAGATTTGACTCTTATACGTTATTTTTTTTATAATCTTGAAAAACTTCAATGGTGGTATACTGGAAATGATGAACCTGATTTCTACAGCATAATTATTTAATAATCAAAGCTCTAATGTTGAATCACGTTGATTGAAATATGGGAAAACGGGATTTAAATTTTAAACCCACCCATGTGAGAATATGAGGCATTTCCAGCTGACACAATTGCATGTTTTTTTTTAATTTTCACGTGTTTAAAAAATAAAACAGTTGAGAAATCTTTCCAAGAAGAATTCGTGAAAATAATTAAAGAATAGGTTTGAACGAAAACTGTCCTAATCTTGGCTATTTCATTGTTTTTCGTGCCACATGTGAAGGCGGCCCGAAAAAATTTCAAATGGAAAATAAGAAACTTGCTCAATAAGTCAGGTATTCAATTTTAGAGAATCCTAAAAAATGAACAAGTACTCGCTTCAAGTACTGCAAATGATTCCCCAGTAGTTTGATAGTACAGAATATTTCGCTTCAAAATTTAGTCAACAGAAAAAAAAACTTTCTCAGGAGGCTGATAAATTTTCCGTCCCATTTTAAAATCGTTGATTATTCTGTGCCAAATCCGAGTTCAGCCTAATCTTAGTTCCCCCCCCCCCCATAACACAAAATCAATCCCCAATTTCGGTTGAAAAATACATCTCTAAAAAGCCCCTTTTTTCTTTCAGTACAGTACCAGCAACGATCCAAAAAGTTGACACACGCTAAAAAAAACAGCGTTGAAAAACTCACCGTTTACGAGAGATGGCCGAGTCCATGGCAGCGAAATAGTACAAATTGATGGCCGGTGACGAGACCATGAGGGACTCTTCGTCAGCCAGGACAGGCGTGCCAACGAAGCCCGGGAAAATGATGGTGTCGAAGGTGTCGGGGTGGAAGAAGAAGGGCCAGGTCAGGTTGACAGCGCCCGACTCAACGTCACCGACGACGTCGCGAAGCTTGAGCACGTCGTTGCTGAAACAGTCCTGACGCCAGAGGGCGCAAAGGGTGTCGTAGTTGCGAATTTCGCCAAAGAAATCCACGCTGATATTTCGCACCAGAGCGTCCAACTCAACGGCCTCTGCGAATTCTCGCTCTCGGAATATGCTACCGCCATCTTTGGCGAACACAAGGACCTAACAAAAAATAAATAAAAATAATAATGCAAAAACGTCAGGTCAATCATCGAGGAAGTATGTAACCGAAATTCCAGAAAAATATGCGATGGACTAGTGAACAGAAGAAAAGCACGTAATTTATGTTTGGTGAAGTTTTTTTTTTTTTTCTGTGAGAGACGCAACCCGTAAATTCAGGAATTCGCCAGTTACATTTTGAATTCAATAACTGAACTTTTCTGAGTTGATTTTTTTTCAAGTCCTTATCTGAATTCCCTGAGAAAGAATAATTAAAAATCTCTCTAACTGAACGTTTTTTCAGAGTTTATATAGGAATTAAGTTTATAAACCTCCGGAAAACCGATAGAAAATAACTGAGATCTTTCTCTTTTCGTTATTTTATGACACTCATTGAACTACGTAAAACTTTCCTTCACTTTCTGATCACAGGGAAATATGAACCCATGCCTCAAATTTCAGCATCCTGTTGATCAACTCCATCATTCAAGAAGCAATTTAAGGCCCAAGAATATCACCATTTACAATTTTGTCAAATTCTTTCATCTTTCCCACAAGAAAAATGCTTGTTTCCCAAACTCAAAACCTCCTATTCAGTTGGAATTTGTTTGCTGGTCCCTTGAAATGCTACTTGAAGTGGTTTGACCAAAGTGAAATAAAAATGTAAAATTTTGTTTTGTGGAGTCTCTGAAAATTAGACTTTGAAAGGTTACGACTCATATTGTAATTTCAAATCCAATCCCAAAACATTTCGTTATAAGTTCAACAGTATCTTTATTGGACCGGTTTAACCATGGAATTTTAAACTAAACTCCTCCAAACAGAACTCAGTTGTTCTTTTTCAGTTTAAATAAAAAGACCTGCGAGAAGTTTAGTCTGAAAGAAGTTCAACTCTTAATGTTGAACTCTTAATGTTGTTAATGTTGTCCAAATTCATGCCAAACATTTCGCAAAATGTGAGTTGTCACAGCACAAACCTGGCCAAATTGGTCCCTTTGAAATTCAACTCAAGGAGGTTTGTCTTAAGTTGACTCTACTGTGCTGTAATTCCTAATCCCTTCCCAAAAAAAGTCCCAAAATACAAATTGTCCCAGAATTCAACCCTTGGGCAATGGTGGGACCTTTTCCATCACACAGCTGTGCCCAGATTTTTTTACATGCTTGTGCATTTATTTAGTTTGACCAAGGGTCACAAAAATGCAGCTTTGGCTGAGTATCCAGAGTTAGGAAAAGGAAAGCTCCTGTTCTGAAAATCCCTCAATGTTAATCCTATGGCAGGAATGCAGAAAAAATGCCACCCAATAACTGTTACTTTTTTCTAGGAACATTTTTTTTTTGGTAGGAATGCTAACAAAAATTTCAGATTTTTCCCAACATTGGCTCTTCTAATTATTCTTGTTTTCGTTTTTATTTCACTCCTTGTGGCACAACAATTTTGCGGATAAATCCCAGCACTATACTGAACAAGGGTTGAGGAGGTTCAACTTGAGTCAATTAAAACGGTAAAATTTTGTTTTGTTGAGTCTCTTATTCAAAATTATGCTTGAAGAAGTTCAACTCTACTGTAATTCCAAAAATCCATTCGCAAAATGTATATATATATATATACATTTATATATGTCAGCAATTCTTCTAGAGCAGGTGACTCGAAATCAAGTTGTATCAAGTGAATTAGTTCTATCATTCAATTCCATTTTTGATGTGTGCTTTTTGGTTTCATGGAGGTCATGAAATTTATCTGCCTTCCTGCTAAAAAAAAGGCACTTCCATTTCCAAAAATTAAAGTGAAGTTTTTTCACTAAGCGCGGAAAATCGAAAAGTTCGATCTGTTTGATGTGTTTGATTGTAAATTCAATCCGTTGCAAAAATGTAAAAAAAAAGTATGAGAACGTAAATGCTAAAACATTTGAAAAAGTTGCACACTTTATAATGCTGTAGCTCTATAAGTTAAATTCCCGGTGAACTTAAAAATGAACCGGGATGCCAAGTCTCTGTCAAGTGAGATCTGTTAAATTGCCATAAAATATTAATCTCAATCCAGCAGATGATAAAGTTTTCTGTAAGCCAATCAATAGTATATGTCAGCAGCACGAACCTGGCCAAATCGGGTCGGGTCAGTCAGGCGGTCGGGCTGGAACCTGCCGTTGGTGTCCACGGGAAAAAAGGCCCGGAACACGTCGCGGTCCTGGTGAGACGGGCTGTTGGCGGGTGCGAACAGGTACTCCATGTCACTCACGTGGTTCAGGCGCTGGAACCCGGTGCTCATGAGGCCAGCCAACAGGACGGGCACTATGATAAAGTGCGACGGGTGCTGGGCCACGAACCCACCCAGACGCCGGAACATCTCGCTGAGTTTCCGGTCCAGGTAGTCAGACTCACAACCCATAGTTGCTGTTTTTTTCTTTTTAGGGTTCCTGCTCCTTTCAAGCAATGCCTTTCCCCCCTCCTTCTTTTTAAAAATTCTTCTTCGATTGTTTTTTGTTTTGTTTTCTTTTTCCTTGGGTCTCTTCTCACTATAATGCGTCAGACTTCTTGTTTATTTTGGTTTTGTTTCGCTTTCTCCAGCACTCAGCCGAACCCCTGCCTTTTCCCCCCTTTTCTTTCGTTCGTTGCCCCTCTTGTCGCTTGAGGACCCCAATAACAGAACAACTTCTAACGCGAATAAATAAGCGAAGGAAACCTAGAAAGAAAAGAGTAGTCAATTTAGAAGCGTGAAAAATCAAAAAGCTTGCATGATTTTCTTCGCGAAGTAGGATCAGTTTGATGACGAGACATTTAAAAATTAACCCGCTGAAAAAAATAACGTTTAATAACAAGCAGTTTTGCGACTAAAATAAGTTCCGTCCTGAAAAAAGATGACAAACGAAAGCAATATTCCGGGAGAAATTTAAAACGGAAATCACTCAATGCAGAATATGTTTAATCCTTGAAATCTCTGGAACGTGAGAAATGAATGCACTAAATTCTTTGCGTAGTTTTCACGAAAGTTGAGCTGCAGTATAATTCATTGCTAATTTGGTCAGAAACTCTACGAATATCAAACTATTGAATGGTTTACAGAAAACTTTATCGTCTGCTGGATTAGGATTGATATTTGATGGCAATTCAACAGCGATCTCACTTGACAAAGACTTGGCATCGCGGTTCATTTTTAAGTTCACTGGAAATTTAACTTAGAGCTACAGTACTATAAAGTCTGCAAATTTTTCAAGTGTTTTAGCATTTATGTTCTCATACTTTATTTTTACATTTTTTGTGACGGATTGAATTTACAATCAAACACATCAGACAGGTCGAACTTTTCGATTTTCCGCGCTTAGTGAAAAAACTTCACTTTAATTTTTGGTAATGTGAGTGCCTTTTTTTTTTTTAGCAGGAAGGCAGATAAATTTCATGACCTCTATGAAACCAAAAATCACACATCAAGAATATAATTGCATGATAGAACTAATTCACTTAATAAAACTTGATTTCGAGTCACCTGCTCAAGAAGAATTGAAGAGAAGGGTTTCTAGAATTAATCTCATCCTTCCATGAAAGGGAAATTTTAAAAATTGATTTCACGTCCACCTCGTCAGTAAAAAAAGAAGAAGCAATTTCAACAAACTGAGGATGTATTCAGATTTCAGAGAGAGCTTCACTTTTTTTTCTTTTCAAGAAAGTGAAGTTTGTGAAAACAAATAAGGCTGTCAAATGACTTCCAACCGCGGAAACGAGCGAAGCTTTTAAGAGAAAAACCACGCGGTCATCAACAAACATCCTCTTCCCTTTTTTTTCCTCAATGGAAATCGTTCTCGTGACCAGCACAATTTGCTTTTCGGCCTTTCATAAACCCGGTAGTTGAAACAGAAATCCTATAGCTTCAACATTTCCCGCAATGAGAAGCATTATTTCTATTTTTTTTTGCAAAATCATCGCCGGGATCAAACGGAGTTCGGTTACGCTGATTCGTACCAGGAAACGACGAAAGGTCAATCGAATTCGTCACCTGACACCACAGTTTCCTGGGACACCTTATGACTTCCCAGCACACACAAAGAATAAGAAATAGAGGCGAAAAAAAAAACCAAGAAATGTATAATTAGGGAAATTTCTACGCCTCAAGATCAGGGTCGAGGTTCCCTATTTCTCCTTCGCCGTCTCAACGAAATATTTATTCATTTTTTTACGCCTAGAACCTNCCAAGTCTTTGTCAAGTGAGATCTGTTAAATTGCCATAAAATATTAATCTCAATCCAGCAGATGATAAAGTTTTCTGTAAGCCAATCAATAGTATATGTCAGCAGCACGAACCTGGCCAAATCGGGTCGGGTCAGTCAGGCGGTCGGGCTGGAACCTGCCGTTGGTGTCCACGGGAAAAAAGGCCCGGAACACGTCGCGGTCCTGGTGAGACGGGCTGTTGGCGGGTGCGAACAGGTACTCCATGTCACTCACGTGGTTCAGGCGCTGGAACCCGGTGCTCATGAGGCCAGCCAACAGGACGGGCACTATGATAAAGTGCGACGGGTGCTGGGCCACGAACCCACCCAGACGCCGGAACATCTCGCTGAGTTTCCGGTCCAGGTAGTCAGACTCACAACCCATAGTTGCTGTTTTTCTTTTTAGGGTTCCTGCTCCTTTCAAGCAATGCCTTTCCCCCCTCCTTCTTTTTAAAAATTCTTCTTCGCTTGTTTTTTGTTTGTTTTCTTTTTCCTTGGGTCTCTTCTCACTAAAATGCGTCAGACTTCGTGTTTATTTTGGTTTTGTTTCGCTTTCTCCAGCACTCAGCCGAACCCCTGCCTTTTCCCCCCTTTTCTTTCGTTCGTTGCCCCTCTTGTCGCTTGAGGACCCCAATAACAGAACAGCTTCTAACGCGAATAAATAAGCGAAGGAAACCTGGAAAGAAAAGATTAGTCAATTTAGAAGCGTGAAAAATCAAAAAGCTTGCATTATTTTCCTCGCGAAATAAATGACGAGACATTTAAAAATCAACCCACTGAAAAAAATAACTTTTAATAACAAGCAGTTTTGCGACTAAAATAAGTTCCGTCCTGAAAAAAGATGACAAACGAAAGCAACATTTTGGGAGAAATTTAAAACGGAAATCACTCAATGCAGAATATTTTTAATCCTTGAAATCTCTGGAACTTGAGAAATGAATGCACTAAATTCTTTGCGTAGTTTTCACGAAAGTTGAGCTGCAGTATAAATAATTGCTAATTTGGTCAGAAACTCTACGAATATCAAACTATTGAATGGTTTACAGAAAACTTTATCGTCTGCAGGATTAGGATTGATATTTGATGGCAATTTAACAGCGATCTCACTTGACAAAGACTTGGCATCGCGGTTCATTTTTAAGCTCACTGGAAGTTCAACTTAGAGCTACAGCATTATAAAGTCTGCAACTTTTTCAAATAGTTTAGCATTTATGTTCTCATACTTTATTTTTACATTTTTGCAACGGATTGAATATAAAATCAAACACATCAGACAGGTCGAACTTTTCGATTTTCCGCGCTTAGTGAAAAAAACTTCACTTGCATTTTTGGTAATGTGAGTGTTTTTTTTTTTTAGCAGGAAGGCAGATAAATTTCATGACATCTATGAAACCAAAAATCACATATCAAGAATGGAATTGAATGATAGAACTAACTCACTTAATAAAACTTGAATTCGAGTCACCTGCTCAAGAAGAATTGAAGAGAAGGGTTTCTAGAATTAATCTCATCCTTCCATGAAAGGGAAATTTTACAAATTGATTTCACTTCCACCTCGTCAGCAGTAAAAAAAAGAAGAAGCAATTTCAACAAACTGGGGATGTATTCAGATTTCAGAGAGAGCTTGTGAAAAAAAAGAAAAGTTCTTTCACTTCAAACACTTTTGTTTATTCCGACAGTTTACTGAAGGTTGGCGCCTTTGCTCGCTTCGAAAATTCTCTTTTTGGTGCGCCAGTAGTTGTTTGTAGGAGAAGCCTTTTTTTTTCCTCAATGGAAATCGTTCTCGTGACCAGCACAATTTGCTTTTCGGCCTTTCATAAACCCGGTAGTTGAAACAGAAATCCTATAGCTTCAACATTTCCCGCAATGAGAAGCATTATTTCTATTTTTTTTTGCAAAATCATCGCCGAGATCAAACGGAGTTCGGTTACGCTGATTCGTACCAGGAAACGACGAAAGGTCAATCGAATTCGTCACCTGACACCACAGTTTCCTGGGACACCTTATGACTTCCCAGCACACACAAAGAATAAGAAATAGAGGCGAAAAAAAACCAAGAAATGTATAATTAGGGAAATTTCTACGCCTCAAGATCAGGGTCGAGGTTCCCTATTTCTCCTTCGCCGTCTCAACGAAATATTTATTCATTTTTTTACGCCTAGAACCTCATTCCAAAGCATTCAAAAAGCATAATTAATGTGTCAGAAATGTATTCCCAATTTTATTCCCCCTCAGCGTTTTTCAGATATAATTTTTTTTTAATCTCAGAAACCCGCAATAATAATTCATAAATTTTGTGAAGCGCCTTATTCTTCATTTCGTTGTTCAAATCAAAAAGAAAATTCAACAAAAAAACTTTATGGAAATGATCGAATATTGTCATTATGATCTACAAGGGAAAAGGAAGCCTTCTGACGAAAAATTGCATGACGATGTCATTTTTCACATCTATATCTAATCGAAGAAACCCTGAATGGGTGACTTCGGATGAATTTTCCGAAGAAGTTCACGATCGTTATTCAAATGTAACATAAACAAATCCACGACAAGTTTTCTCACGACTCACTCGTAAAACGTCACAGAAGTTCACTTCAAAAGATTAGATTTATTTTCGGATGAATTTTCCGAAGAAGTTCACGATCGTTATTCAAATGTAACATAAACAAATCCACGACAAGTTTTCTCACGACTCACTCGTAAAACGTCACAGAAGTTCACTTCAAAAGATTAGATTTATACATGAGCGTTACACTTGTAATTCTGGAAAGATTTTTTTTGAAAACTTTAAAAAATGTCTATGACGTCGAAGGAAATTCCGAAAAAGTTCACGAGCGTCACAACTTGATGCAAAGATTTCATCAAACATTTTCTGAAGAAGCATTGAAAAAGCAGCATTTTCTTAATTCTCGTGAGGGTTTAATTCGTAACTGGTACACTTGAAATCATTATGAATATTTTCTAATTCCGCCACTTTTTGGGACAAATTACGCGTCGGAAAATTTGCCGTTTTGTTGCTGAATTGAATTACGCTCGATAAATATAAGCTCTCAGAATTTCAAGCATTTAAAAAATCCATCAGTCGATATTCACAAAAAAAAAATGTTAGAACACGATCAAACAAAAATTCGAAAGACTGTGATATCAGACGTCGTCGAAAGAAAACTGAACTGAGACGTAAACGAAAGAA